AGAGTTTCTTAAACAAGACACAAAGTACAAGCGATAAAGGAAAGGAAAAGACTGATAAGTTTGGCTACATTAAAAGACACCATAAAGAGAATGAATAGACAAGCCACAATGTGGAACAAGATATTTGCAACACATATAATACTATATGTATATATATATATATACGTACATATTCCTAAAAATAAATATGAAACAAACTACCAACCCAGTAAAAAAATGGGCAAGCAGAGAGAGTTAGGAGCTGGCTGAATGTTCATGGGGAATCAGGGGCAGAGGGGAGGAGTGTCCTGTCGCAGAATGGGGTGAGCGGTTGGGGTCTCATAACAATGTAAGTTAAAAAAAAAAATTCTGTATAGGAGACTAACTTGAAATGTAAACTTCATTTAATTACAACAATAAAATTTTTTATTAAAAAAATGGGCAAAAGACTTGAATAGGTTTTTAGAAAAAAAAGATAAAACTGTAATGGAAGCCTCATTAGTAATCAGGGTAATGAAAATTAAAACCCTAATCATATACCCTTATACACTCAAGAAATGGGCAAACATTTTGAAGTCTGACAAAATACCAAGTACTAATGAGGATGTGACACAATGGGACCTCTTAGATATCTTAGAAAAGTGTCAGATACTTTAAAAATCAGATTAGCTTTATCTAGTGAAGTTGAACGTGCACATATTCTTTAACCTAGCAATCCTACTCCCAGGTAAATATCCAAGAGAAAATCTCGCAAAAAAAAATGGCACTTGCTTATAATATAAAAACAGCTGAAAAAAAATCAAATATCCATGGAGTAGGTTGGATAAATGAATTGTGGTATATTCTTACACAGCAATCAAGACATGCATCATCATGTATTTGCATGGATAAAACTCACCAACTTTAATGTTGAGACAAAGAAGAATCTATGGAGCACGATTCAATTTACCTAAAGTTTAAAAAACAGCCAAAACTAAACTACATATATATATATATATATGTTATACACATATATATACACACATTCATTCCTGGTTGCTATAGCAATAAAGGAAAGCAAAGAATGATTATCACAAAACTCAAAATAGTGATTTCCTCTGGGGCATGGGGTAGAGAGTGGGTACTTTTGAGGAGGAGCACACCAGGGGGAAGGGGTTAAGGTACTGGTGATATTCAATTTCTTTATCCAGAGTCTTTTTTTTTTTAAATTTTTTAAACTACACTTACATCCACCATTCATCTGTCAGTTTGTCATACTGTGGGGGCTTGCGTGTTGCTGTGATTCTGGAAACTATGGCACCAGTATTTCAAATACCAGCAGGGTTACCTATGGTAAACAGGTTTCAGCAGAGCTTCCAGACTAAGACAGACTAGGAAGAAGTATCTGGTGGTCTACTGCTGAAAAAATTGGCCAGTGAAAACCATATGAATAGCAGCAGAACACTGTCTGATATAGTGCCAGAAGATGAGCCCTTCAGGTTGGAAGGCACTCAAAATATGACTGCCTCCTCAAAGTAGAGTCAACCTTAATGACTTAGATGGAGTCAAGCTTTTGAAACCTTCATTTGCTGATGTGGCACGACTCAAAATGAGAAGAAACAGCTACTAATATCCATTAATAATTGGAAAGTGGAATATACATACAAAGTGTGAATCTAGGAAAATTGAAAGTTGTCAAAAATGAAATGGACCACATAAAGATCGATATCCTAGGCATTAGTGAGCTGAAATGGACTGGTATTGGCCATTTTGAATCAGACAATCATAGGTCTATTATGCCAGGAATGACAAATTGAAAGGGAATGGTATCGCATGCATCGTCAAAAAGAACATTTTAAGATTTATCCTGAAGTACAACACTGTCAGAGATAGGATAATATCCATATGCCTACAAGGAAGACCAGTTAATAGAACAATTATTCAAATTTATGCACCAACCACTAAGGCCAAAGATGAAGAAACTGAAGATTTTTACCAACTTCTGCAGTTTAAAATCGATCAAACACGCAATCAAGATGTATTGATAATTACTGGCGATTAGAATGGGAAAGTTGGAAATGAAGAAGAAGGATAAATAGTTGGAAAATATGGCCTGGTGATAGAAACAATATCAGAGATAGCATGATAGAATTTTGTAAGACCAACAATTTCTCCATTGCAAATATATTTTTTCAATAATATAAATGGCAACTATACATGTAGACCTCGCCAGATGGAATAAACAGGAATCAAATTGACTACATCTGTGGAAAGAGACGATAGAGAAGCTCAATATCATCAGTCATAAAAAGGCCAGGGGCCAACTGTGGAACAGATGGTCAATTGCTCATATGCAAGTTCAAGCTGAAGCTGAAGAAAATTAGATCAAGTCCACGAGAGCCAAAATACGACCTTGAGATATCCCACTCGAATTTAGAGACCATCTCAAGGATAGATTTGATGCATTGAACACTAATGACCGAAGAACAGACGAGTTGTGGAATGACATCAAGGACAACATACATGAAGAAAGCAAAAGGACATTACAAAGACAAGAAAGAAAGAGAAGACCAAAGTGGATGTCAGAGGATATCCTAAAACTTGCTCTTGAACATCAAGTAGCTAAAGCAAATGGAAGAAATGATGAAGTAAAAGAGCTGAACAGAAGATTTCAAAGCGTCGCTTGAGAAGACAAAGTAAAACATTAGAATGAAATGTACAAAGACCCGGAGTTAGAAAACCAAAAAGGAAGAACACGCCCGGCGTTTCTCAAGCTGAAAGAACTGAAGAAAAAATTCAAGCCTCGAGTTACAATATTGAAGGATTCTACAGGGAAAATACTGAACAATGCAGGAAGCATCAAAAGAAGATGGAAGAAATACACAGAGTCACTGTACCAAACGATTGTTCAACGTTTCAATCGTTTCAGGAGGTAGCATATGATCAAGGAAGGAAAAAGTCCAAGTTGTACTGAAGGCATTGGCCAAAAAACAAGGTTACAGGAATGGACGGAATACCGACTGAGGTGTTTCAACAAACAGATGCAGTTCTGGAAGTGCTCACTTTTCTATGCCAAGAAATTTGGAAGAGGGCTACCTGGCCAACCAACTGGAAAAGATCCATATTTGTATCCATTCCAAAGAAAGATGATCCAATTGAATGCAGAAATTATTGAACAATATCATTAATATCACAAGCCAGTACGATTTTGCTGAAGATCATTCAAAAGTAGTTGCAGCAGTACATCGACAGGGAACTGCCAGAATTTAAGCCGGATTCAGAAGAGGACGTGGAATGAGGGATATCATTGTTGATGTCAGATGGATCTTGGCTGAAAGCAGAGAATACCAGAAAGGTGTTTACCTGTGTTTCATTGACTATGCAACGACATTCAACTGTGTGGATCGTAACAAATTATGGATAACATTGTGAAGAATGGGAATTCCAGAACACTTAATTGTGCTCATGCAGAACCTACACATAGACAAGAGGCAGTCATTCTAACAGAACAAAGGGATACTGTGCGATTTAAAATCAGGAAAGGTGTATGTCAGGATTGTATCCTTTCACCATACTTATTCAACCTGTATGCTGAGCAAATAATCCAAGAAGCTGGACTATATGAAGAAGAACACGGCATCAGAATTTGAGGAACACACATTAACAATCTAGTATATGTAGATGACACAACCTAGCTTGCTGAAAAGTGAAGAGAACTTGAAGCACTTACTGATGAAGATCAAAGACTACAGCCTTTCTGTATGGATCGCAACTCAACATAAAAAATAAAAATGAAAAAATCTTCACAAATGGACAATAAGAAATATCATGATAAACGGAGAAAAGATTGTAGATGTTAAGGATTTCATTTTACTTGGATCTACAGTCAACGCCCATGGAAGTAGCAGCCAAGAAATCAAACGACATATTGCATTCGGCAAATCTGCTGTAAAAGACTTCTTTAAAGTGTTAAAAAGCAAAGATAACCACTTTGAGGACTAAGGTGTGCCTGCCCCAAGCCATGGTATTTTCAATAGCCTCATAGGCATACAAAAACTGGACAATGAATAAGGAAGACCAAAGAAGAATTGATGCCTTTGAATTGTGGTGTTGGCAAAGAATATTGAATATACCATGGACTGCCAGAAGAAGGAACAAATCTGTCTTGGAAGAAGTATAGCCAGAATGCTCCTTAGAAGTGAGGATTGTGAGACTTCGTCTCCTGTACTTTGACATGTTATCAGGAGGGATCAGTCCCTGGAGAAGGACATCATGCTTGGTAAAATAGAGGGTCAGCAAAAAAGAAGAAGACCCTCAATGAGACGGAAACAGCGGCTGCATCAATGGGCTCAAGTATAACAACGATTGTGAGGATGGTGCAAGACTGGGCAGTGTTTTGTTCTGTCATACATTGGGTGGCTATGAGTTGGAACCGATTTGACGGCATCTAACAACAACAACAACATACATATTTTATTATACACATACATAATACTTCAAAGTGAAAATATAATGAACTTAAACTACATTATATCTGTGTGGATAAATCTCATCCCCCAAAAAATAATGTTCAATATTTGTGAAGATTTGATGACAGATTGGCACCAGTCAGCCTTTTCAGATTACTGTTTAGTAATTCATCTGGGTGGCACAAAAGATTAAATGCTCAACTAGTAGCCAAAAGGTTAGTAGTTTGAACCCACCTAGAGGCACCTCAGGAGACCTGGTGCACAGTGGTTAAGAGCTTGGCTGTTAACCAAAAGGTCAGCACTTGGAATCCACCAGCCACTCCTTGGAAACCCTATGGGTCAGTTCTACTCTCTCCTGTAGGATCACTATGAGTCGGAATCTACTCGCCGGCAATGGGGAGAGGCACCTCAGAAGACAGGCCTGGCAATATGCTTCCAAAAGGTCACAGTTCTATTCTACACACATGGGGTCGCCATGTGTCCGAATGGACTCAAGGGCAACTACTAACAATTCCTACCCTTAGAAATCTTACTGCCAATCTGTGCATATAAAAAGGATTAGGCTAGGCCGCCTCCTTCTTCTGCAGCTCCTGGTGCTGCTTGTATGCTAGTTCGGTGCGGACCTGGTACCTCTTTTGTGAAGCGGCAAGTGAGGAGACTCTGGCACTCGCCATGGCCGACGAAAAACCCAAGGAAGGAGTCAAGACTGAGAACAACGATCATATTAATTTGAAGGTGGCGGGGCAGGATGGTTCTGTGGTGCAATTTAAGATTAAGAGGCATACACCACTTAGTAAACTAATGAAAGCCTATTGTGAACAATAGAGTTTGTCAATGAGGCAGATCAGATTCAGATTTGACGGGCAGCCAATCAATGAAACAGACACACCTGCACGGTTGGAAATGGAGGATGAAGATACAATCAGTGTGTTTCAGCAGCAGACAAGAGGTGTCTTCTAAAAAGGGAGTCTGCTACTTTACTCCAGAACTCTGTTCCTAGAGACCAAGAATACATTCTCAATTAGAAAACCACAATTTTGTTCCACCACATCCTGACTACTATAGTATAGTTTTCTCTATTCTTTCATTTTCCCCTTCCTCATTCCTTTATTGTACATAAAGTAACTGGTGTATGTGCACAAGCACATTGCATTTTTTTTTTTTTTTTCTAAATGGCCAATGGTATGTTTTGATTGACATCAAGTGGAGATGGGATGGGGAAAAATACTGGTTCTGTGAAAATATCCCCTTTCTCCATTAGTGGCATGCTCATTTAGCTCTTATCTTTATATCCCAGTAAGTTATTTTGCTCTCAACTGTTTAACAAAAAACAACGACATAAAAAATCCTTGCGTACCTTGTTTGATTGGAGAATTTTAATGTTTTTTCAGTTATCATTGTAAAACCAAGAATAATTTTATAACTTTTTTGTACGTAGCTGTTACATGTAGGGCAATCTGTCTTTAAGTAGGGATAAATTACTCTAAAAGAAATGAATCCTAGATAGTTTTCCCTTCAAGTCAAGCATCTTGTTGTTTAAATAAACTTCTGGTTTAAAAAAAAAAAAAAGGATTAGGCTAAATGTTTCACAACCTTGACTCTACCAGGGAGGAACTTAGACAACTTCATACTGATCAAATCCACCTTCTTTTAGAGGCAGGGCTGCATGCTGGAGAAGAAGAGTTAAGTGTGGAAATTAGTCCCCTGATAGGGACCTTACCTCCCTCAACCTCATCCAGGAAACCCTGAGTTATCTCTGTGAAAAGAAACACTCCAAAAACATTACCAACGCAAATCCCTAGCAAAACCCCTTACTGTGGCATCCAAACAGCTCACCTTTTCTCACTTCTTTTGTTTCCCTGGTAACAACCAGCCTTGGCTTTCCAATTACTTGGCTGCCTGTTCATCATCTGTCTGTTCCAGTTTATGATTCAAAACATTTCAAATCAGTCTGCTTGCTCCAGGAAAGAATTTGGACGCGATTTTTGCCCATTTCCTACTTTGGCCACTAATCCAACCCCCTCTTTCTCTGCCTTGAAATGCTCAAACTTGGCCATTTTGATCCATACCTGCTAGCATCAGCTGAGATTTGCCTTGCTTCCTTCCAGCATACTGCCAGCCCAACTCCCAGGCCTAAGTCTAGGGTCTTCTATCATTATGTCCGCCTCAAACCCAACTACAACTGTAACAACCCCTTTTCCCTAGATTTGGTGCAGACAGCAACTACAGTAACTCCCCATATCTACCACCAATTTGACACCCATAGAGATCGCCTTGGTTGCCATGCCCTTAACATGATCCAGATGAGCATCAGTTTTTGCAGGGGTTCATAGAGCCTCTTTGTCCAGGGGCACAAGATATATCTATGCCTTGCTGTCCTAATCAGCACTGCAGAGCCAAGTGGGGATGGCTGAGGCCCAAAGACCAGAAGAGACCCACAAGGCATATACTTGAAAAAAGTCCACATAAGGGGACCTTGGCATCAAGATATCCAGCTGTAGGCCAGGTGGATGCCTTGAGAGGAAGGGGCACAATAGAGTATTATGGTGCTTAATAGCAGGCACCAACATTTTAGGATTGAGCAGATTTAACATGGGCAGCAGAATATCTAAGAGGTTCAAGAAATCTCTACCACTCTCTTCTAACTCCTGCCTGAGTAATCTCTATACTCATCTTTCCAACCTCAGATTTACCATCACTCCCCCCCCCACCCCACTGGATTAGCTGACCCTACTATGTGCTGCAGTACATTAAACCCTGTGCTCACAACTATAATATGTAATTATAATATATGGTGCTGTGTTATAATTACTTGTTCACTTAGTCTGTTTCTCTTATTATACAGATAAGTTCCATCAGGACCAGAAACATGTCTCTCTTATTCAACACCCATACCTGCAGCATCTAGCACAGTACCTAACCCATGGGAAATGTAATGATTGTAAAAATAATAATAAACATTTTTGAATCAGTGAATGAATCCTTTATGAGACTGGGGTAGGGAGTTGGGAGGGGAAGCAAGGAATCTCATTCCTAGGGAAACTGGGGAAGCATGGCATTAGCCCAAATACAGGAGCTGGAGTAGAAGGGAGGGCTTATTCATAAGTAGGAACTCAGGTACAAAGTCAGACAAGATTTAGCAACCAGGCTGATAATGCTGAGTCTCCAAGCTACTGATCTAAGTCTTAAATGCATAAGAAAAAAATTTGGTCCCAAATCCTAGGGTAAGGCTGAACCTTTAAAAGGTAGATGTGTCCCCAGCTGGTACACAGGAGCAGGGGTCGAAGGAGGTCAACTAGAAGCTCTCAGCAGATATTAAATCTCTTCCAGCGTTACTGACACAAACCAAAGACCCTAGAGCTGCTAGGGAAAAATAAGCTTCCTCCACACTGCAGTGTTACTGACACCCTAATCTTTTTTTTAAAAAACAGGCAAGGAATAAATTATGAAGTAATTACCTGACTATATCCTCATTCTACTTCTGGCTTTCTCATGACTTCTAGGAAGACTGAGCCCTGCCGCACAATAGATAGTTCTTCTCCTCAGGGTAAGCCAGCTCTTCTCCTTACTGTACACCCTCCCAAGGCAGTTTGAGAAAACCCATCACTACTTCCCAATAGTGCCCATCCCCAGCCTCAGAAATTGCGGTCACCTAGAAATAATCCCAATGTTTCTTTATACGCTTCCTGTAGTGGACTAGGTTAAGAGTAACTTTGATCTACACTTATTGTATATTAGGAATATATAATCTTTTCCTGAGAAGAAATGACTTTTGATTTATCTTTGGTCTTAGGGATGAGCTGTCCTCCCTACTAGGAACCCAGGAAACGTGAGTAGCTAAGAGAGCAAACAAGGCTCCAGAGTCAACTAGTAGGTCAAGATCAACTGTTTGGAGTTTTCTCCTAAATAATTATAAAAAATAGTAATAAACATTAAGTTGGTTTAAAACAAGTATCCTTGTATATTCATAGACAATTTGGTGTTTTTCGCTAAATGATCATAAAAATAATAATAAACATTAAGTTGTTTGCAAACAAGTATCCTTATATATTCATAGACTATCCCTGAAAAGAGTCACAAACATACTGTTAGTAGTGATTGCTTCTGAGGACCGAATCAAGGTGGCTGGAGAACAGGGGCTCAAGGGAGAATTAATTTTCAGTGTATACTCATTCGTACCTTTCGTAATTTGTATCATATGCTTGTAATACTTTAAAAAATAAATAAGATTTAATTAAAAATAAAATAAAACAAACATCCTCCCCATGGCTTGGCTCCACTTCATAGTCAAGCGCATCCTTCCTTGGGCAACTCCCACAGTGTGCTAATCCAAAGAGACCCCCTAGCGCTTTGCATGTGGGTGGATATTTTAAAACAAGGGCCTACTGCCGAACTGAAATCCATATGTGAATGTTACAGAGGCAGTACAGGCTAGAGTGACGCTGGAGAAGAAGGCAGAATAGCTGCTGTTTACAGGCAAAGTGGATATGGATCAGACTTGATCCTTCTAACTGGCTAATGTCAACGTCAGCGTTCCACCCCTGGGTTCATCTTCCTTAACCTGATTAAATTTACCAGAAAAAGCATTTACCGGACCTTGGCCTACATTAGTGAAAACATCAAAGTCATTCGGAATGGTTACTGAAGAGGATAGTGCAGATACCCCGATAAAATCAACTACAAGACTGAAACTGAGCAGACCAGGGGCTCTGCCTGTCTTGTTCACCACATCCCTAGTGCCTAGCAGAGTGCCCAGCAGTTGAAAGAACGAATGGATAGAGGATAAGTGGAAAACCATACTCCTCATTGCTCAGAGGAGTTAACTGACTTCTCTAAAATCACATAAGGAGCCCTGGTAGTGCAACGGTTAAGTGCTTGGCTGCCAACTGAAAGACTGGCGGTTCAAACCTATCGGCTGCTCTGGGGAAGAAAAGACCTGGCAATCTGCTCCCATGAGGATTATAGCCTAGGAAACCCTATGGGGCAGTTCTACTCTGTCCTATTGGGTCACTATGAGTCAGAATCAGCTGGATGGCACACAACAACAACAGAATCACACAGCTAGACATTGGCAGATCTCAGACTAGAACTAGGTCTCCTGGCTTCTCATCCCTTGATCTTTTCATTATACAAGGCTGTGAATACACCAGCAGCAACAGAAGAATAAGAGAGCTCAAGCTATTAGCTCAAAAAACAGTCAAGGGTCAGCAGTTTCATACGAATTAACCCTAAACCCCATTGCCATCAAGTCAATTCCGACTCCTAGTGATCTGTGGGACAGAGTAGAATCGCCCCGTAGGGTTTCGAAGGCTGTAAATCTTTAGGGAAGCAGACTGCTACATCTTCCTCCCGCGGAGCGGCTGGTGGGTTATCTTCCTCCCGCGGAGCGGCTGATGGGTTCAAACCGCTGACCTTTTGGTTAGCAGCCAAGTGCTTAGCCATTGTGCCACCAGGGCTCCTTAAGAATTAACCCTAGAAAATGGATTTTGAGGTAAAAAGAGGATTCAAACATACAAAAACCAAAAACCAAACCCACTGCCATCGAGATGATTCTGACTCATAGCAACCCTACAGAACAGAGCAGAACTGCCCCATAGGGTTTCCAAGGCTGTAAATCTTTATGGAAGCATACCGCCACTTCTTTCTTACACGGAGCGGCTAGTAGGTTCAAACTGCTGACCTTCTAGTTAGAAGCCAAGCACTTTAACCACTGTGCAACCAGGGCTCCTTTCAAACACACAACAACAACAAAAAAAAAACCCAAATCCATTGCTGTCAAGTCAATTCTGACTCATAGTGAGCCCAGAGGACAGAGTAGAACTGCTCCATATGGTTTCCAAGGACTGCCTGGTGGATTCAAACTGCTGACCTTTTGGTTAGCAGCCATAGCTCTTAACCACTACGCCACCAGGGTTTCCTCAAACACACAAGTTTGTTTAAATATCTGAATAAATGTTAGACAAAATTATTATGAAGGTCTCTTCTAAATATATGGTGTAC